CAAATTGAAAATACCAAGGAATATTATAGCCAAATTCCAGAATTATCAGGCCAAGGAGAAAATCCTGCAAGCAGACAGAAAGAAACAATTCAAATATCATGGAACCAGAGTCAGGATTATGCAGGACCTTGCAGCTTCTACATTAAAAGATCAGAGGGTTTGGAATATGATATTCCATAAGGCAAGGGAATGTGGATTGCAACCAAGGATCAACCATCCAGAAAAACAGAGCATAATCTTTCAGGGGAGGAGATGGATATTCAATGAAATAGGGCACTTCCAGACTTTCCTGATGAAAAGACCAGAGCTTTATTGAAAATTTGATCTTCAAATACAAGACTTAAGAGAGGCATAAAAAGGTAAACAGGAAAGCGGAAAAAAGTATGTTATTCAATAAAGGTAAACTGTTTACATCCCTACATGGGATGATGATACTTATAACTCTTGAGAACTGTATCTTTATTATGACATTTAGAAGGAATATACATAGACAGAGGGGGTAAGTTTAAGTTGACTTTGATGTGATAATAAAAAAAAGCTAATGAAGTGAAAAGGAATTGGGTAAATTACAATTGGGTAAAGAAAAGGGTAAATTACATCACATGAAGAGGCACAAAGACACATTACAGTAGAAGGAAAGAAGGGAGGGAGATGAACATTGTTTGAACTTTACTCGCATCAGATTTGGCTCAAGGAGGGAATAACATACTTAGTTAGGTATAGAAATTTAACTTGCCATATAGGCAGTAGGAGGGGAAAGGGAAACGAAAAAGGAAGGGGAATATAAGAGAGGGAAGAAGTAATAAGGGAAAAGGGAAAGAAAAGGGAGGGAGGGCTAGTGGGTGGTGGTGGTCTAAAACCAAAAATCTTCAATGACCCCCTGTCACTTATGAAAATCAAACTCCTACACTTGGCATTCAAGTTTCTTCTGCTATATATAGTCTCCACCCTTTTTGAACTAGGCTATTACTGTCTATCCTTAGAACATGCTTGCACCATCCTGCCTCATTATCTTTGATAATGCCATTCCTTGGCCCTGGATTATAGACTTTTCTTCTTCCTGTCTTTGGAAACTTTATGCTACCAGGCATGAAGAAGCTGGGTTGACTTTAGGAACTTAGCAAACATGTGGCCTGTTGCTCCTATCCAAATGGAACCTGGTAAGGTCAATATCTGATATTACCCCAGCCTCCAATAACAATACTCCTTCTAAACTTCCATATAACTAAGAGGGAACCACAATTCTTCAAGATACCTAGGTTTAAAACCTTGGTATCATCCTTGATTCCTCACTGTCCCTCACTCCATATATAAAATCATTTGCCAAATCTTGTCATTTCCAACTGCAGAGTAATATCTCTCATATCTGTCCTATTCGCTCTACTCACATAGCCACCATCTTATTTCAGGCCCTTATCACCTCCACCTAGTAACAGCCTCCTAATTGCCTCAAATCTCTTCCTTCTCCAATGAACTCTCCACAAATCTGCCAAAGTGATTTTCCTAAACCAACCTTTCTACTTTTAAACTTCATGCATGGTATGCATTGTAGTTCCTCACCACTACCATTTCTTCCAGCTCTACCTTGCTACTATTTCATCCTTAGGAGAAGATGAGAGTTCTTGAATATCTGGAATATTGTAGGATTACGATGTAATCCTACCTGGTAGTGTCACAGTTCTTCTATGAGCCTAAGCCCAGGATCCCCACAAACTATTCAAAACTTCTATTTTTTCTCACTGGTTTCCAACAGCTCCATTTTCTCCAGACAAAATTTTGTTTTATATGGCCATGGGGATAATTCTCTCCTCATGTCTCTCTGCCTCCGGTTACAAAATGGTAAGTCTGTAGTAAAATATTCCCTCACCTGGAGTTTGGACATTGTGTCTACCTCAGTCAGATGTTCTCATTGAATTTTCATTATCAGGGAGGGACTAACGTTGAGAAAGGCACCGATGCTTTCTTTTCATTGGTCTTTCTGGTTCTCTTTTTCCAGGGTAATTAGCCCAGGTTATGCATTGCCCTGAACTATTTCTAGTGGGGAAGGAGCAGAGTCAGGGGGCATTAGGGGTTCCCCCCATGCCTGTGACTCAGAGAGAGGAGCCACTTCCCTTGTTCAATAACAACCTTTATCTCTAGACCACATATGACATTTTACTTTATAACTGTCTATTTCGATTGTACTATTTTTATTTGTGTTTGTACTTTCCTACCACTAGACTATATACTCCAGGAAGGAAGGATTTTCATTTCGTCTAAACTTTTATTTCCCCCAGCATCTAAAAGAATGCTGTACACAATAAGTGATTTGTGTTTCTTGAAAGAATGAATGCAAATCTAAATGTCATTTAATTAAAACTTTAAAAAATCTACATAGAGATATATTTCTCCTATTGTTAATGATCCTTAGATAAGTCTCCTTCAGTACCTCAATGTGATGGCCAGCTATACTTAGAGTTCAATTTCTCAAGGCTGACAATATATGGGATAGATTCCAAAGGTGTCATGCTCAATGGTTCTGAAAGAGCCATATTGCTAATCTAATTAATGATGTGAAAAAGCATAGAAACATATATCTGAGTCATTTGAGAACTGCTGATGAATTCCCCATGGAAGCTATCACTGGCACCTCGAAGGCCTAAACAGGATCGAACAGCAGGCTGAGTCCCCAGGTTGCCTGTGGTCATGTTTGTATAGGGGAAAGGAAGCAGAGAATAAAAGGAGTTTCCTCTAAAATATCCCCACTTGGAGCAGCTCAGTGGTGCAGTGGATAGAGCACTGGCCCTGGATTCAGGAGGACCTGAGTTCAAATCTGGCCTCAGACACATAACACTTACTACCTGTGTGACCCTGGGTAAGTCACTTAACCCCATTGCCTAAAAAAAGAAAAAAATAAATAAAATAGCCTCACTTTTGAAAATTTTTGTTGATTCCTTCTTTCTCTTCTGAACCCATGATCTCTCTATAATCTATCAATTTTGTTTTTATTTTCTCTCTACTTTCTCTAACTTGGTGACCTCATCACCTCCAATAGATATGATTATCATCTCTATTCAGATGTGTCCCCAAACTATCTATCCAGCCCTAGTCTTTCTCTTGAACTTTAATTGTATATTTCTAATTATTGATTAGATTTTTTCAAACTGGATGTCCCAAATGTATCTCAAACTCAACATGTTCTGGCCTGATCTCATTATCTCTCCCCAGTTCATTCTTAGCTTTGAATAACGATGGTCCTTCCAAACTTTCATATGACTTAAAGGGAATCCTCATTCTTTCAGATACCTACATTTGAAACTTTGGCATTATCTTTGATTTCTCACTTTCTCTCACTCCACACATAAAATCAGTTACCAGATTTTGTCATTTCCTACTCCACAATGTGATGGTGATGGAGTTCAATCATTATTAGTCATGTCTGACTCTTTGTGATCCCATTTGGGCTTTTCATGGCAAAGTTACTGGAGGAGTTTGCCATTTTTTTTTCTCCAGCTCACTTTATGGATGAGGAACTGAGACAAATAGAGTTGAGTGACTTGCCCAGGGTCACACAGTTAGTAAGTAAGTGTCTGCGGTCAGATTTGAACTTGGATTCTCTGAACTCCAGGCCTAGCCCTCTACCCACTGTGCTACCTAGGTTCCTCAAACTCCACAATAATATCTCTCATATCTGTCCTATTTTCTCTACTCACATAACCACCACCCTATTTCAGGCCCTTATCACTTTCACCTAGACTACTATAAAAACATCCTAATTGCTTCAAGCCTCTTCCTTCTCCAATGCATTCTCCACAAAACTGCCAAAGTGATTTTCCTAAAGTACATATTCAGCCTCCTCAGTTCACTTCTCAATAAATTCCAATAGCTCTCTATTGCCTCTTGGATCAAATATGAGCTCTTCCATTACCTTGTAAACCCTTCATACCTGGGATCCAACATACCTTTCCAACCTTATTATACAGTATTCCCATTCCTCTTCAATTTATGATACAGCCAAATTTGTGTCCATGCTGTTTCTTGAACACAATACTTCAATGCCATCTCTATACCTTTTAACTGTCTTTCCACTTTCCATCAGTAGCTCTGCTTGCTTTGACTCCAGGGAACATCATACTTCCCCCAGGATAAGTTGTTCATCTGAGATCCTATCACCAGGAAGACTGACTCAACTTTTGATACTCAGCACCTGCTGGACTCCCTTAGCTGCTTCTCCTCTGGGATTTTAGGCCTGGAAGGTGAAGCAATAAACTCTTCTCAAAGTCTTCTTTTAAATATTACTCAACTTGGACAGTTGGGTGATGCAGGGGATATTGAAAGGCCTAGAATCAGGAATGTTGCAACTTGTGGTGCCAGGAATCCCAATATGCAAGGGTACAGGGAGTCTGCCTCAAAAGAATTCAATCACTCGAGCCTTCTTTCAGTCAGAGTAGCAAGGTTTTATTATAACACCAGTTAGGTGGGCAAGATTCCTAGTAAGGCTTTGAATTTGATGAGGATGGGACTGATACTTAAATACAGAAAAAGAAAGTGAGAAGATTAAGGAGTGGCAAGTAGCCTGGGGTGGGTCAGGTATAGACAATGAAAGCAGTTAAGCGGTCTGGGCTGGGTCAGTGGACCACAAGGAAAGGACAGTTAAAAGAATTATTGAGTATCTGGGTAGACTGGGATGGACAGAATGCTGACCCAAGCAGCTGAATTGTGTGGGAAAGTTAAGGGGCTTTTAGGGCTCCCATTGCCCCATCAAGGAAGACTTATCTTCCCAAGTTCAGTTCTGGCCTCAGACACTTACAAACTGTGTGATCCTGGGCAAATCACTTAACACTATTTGCCTTAATTCCTCATCTGAAAAATAAAGTGGAGAAGGAAATGGCAAACAACTCCAGTATCTTTGCCAAGAAAACCCCAAATGGGGTCAAGAAGAGTGAGTCATAACTAAACAACAACAACAACACACAGAAAAAAGAATCTGAAAAGGGTGGGGTGGTAGAAGGAAGAGTACTTTCCTAGGGTCATGATGAAGTCCAGTGGAGTGTGTTGGGGTAAGAAACAATGAAATGGCTGCCCTGGGTGCCCTCCTTCAGTGGAAGATCTGGGAGGAGAAATGACTTAACAACTTAACTTTCAGGTAATTCCTTTTTCCATCAGTGGCTTTGCTTGCTTTGACTCCATAAAACCTTTATGTCCCCAAGCCTGTGGTTTTCCCCCCACCCCACCCCACCTCTTTTCTACATTATTTTCTATATTGTCTTCCCTCATTAAATTGTAAGCAGGAACTGTCTTTCTTTTTCTTATTTTTATCCCTAGTGTTTAACATAGTACTTGGCACATAATAGGTGCTTAACAAATGTTTATTAAATTGAATTGAATAACCCCCTATATGTAAAATACACTCCCACTCTACCTCTATTTCTTAGAATTCCTATGCTTAAGGAACACCACCAGAAGTTTTCCAAATCCCCTCTCTGCCGGTCCCTTCCCCCAGTGGTGCACCAGGAAGGGCTTGTACTAGCTCCTGAAAGCTGATTATTAAATATTCAATGTGAGCATTTACACTGCAGAAATCAATAAACACTACAAATCAGCGCATGTTGTTAATTGTCTAGACTTAAGAAAAGGATGAATGAATTGTTAATAATGCAGATTAAACTTGAAAATGTGTAGTACCTTTTCAGAAAGCCAGTTCTCAAATATTGCCAGTATACCTCTGCCTCCCTCCTAAAAAGAAAATGCTCTGAATTTATTTTACATAAAATTTGTATATGCTTAATTAGATTTATGTTGTCTCCCTCAATAGAATGACTGGCTTAAGCTATCTCATCACTGCACTCAAAGCCCATATCCTAGTGATTTGGGATCTGTAGCATTATCTTCAATATGCGAATGTGTGTTTGTGTATGTGTGATCTATTTTAAGAATTCTAGGCTCTAAAGCGGGGGTTCTAAACCTTGGGTCCATAAACTCCACCCCTCCCCAGGAGATCTGTGGATAGATTTCAGTTCATCTATGAACTTGGGGAATAAAAATTGTGTATTTATCTTCACCATAATTGGTTTCCTTTGTAATTCTATGTATTTTATTTTATGCATTGAAAAATCTTCATTTCACTGCCAAAGAGGGGTCTAAAGCTCAAAAAAAGGTTAAGGACTCTTGCTCTACAGAGTGCTGCTATATATTCCTTTTAGATCTTGTCATTGATGTTGTCCTGTAGAGGTGTAACTTTAGGTTCTCAGACTAAAGACTACATGTCTTCTCTCTTCTATTTTCTGAATTCACCATGAATGCTACAACATAACCAACTATGCTATTGGCTTGACCTTCATGTCTAACCCTTCATGACTAGATCTGTGACCTTGAAAGACTGGAACCTTCAGCCAGCTCCACCATGCAGCTGGCATAGGTGCATTGGGCCAGAAATAGTTGAAGCAAAAAACCTTAAATTAGGGAGAATAAAGAATTAGAGTGAATGCTACCCCTGAAATATTGCCAATTCCTGCTTTACATTATAGCTAACCTAAATCTTCCCAACTATAGCTTTCTTCAATTTGTAATAGAAATAAAGACAATGTAAGGGTCATTCTCCATATCAGAGTTAATCCAGTCCAAAAAAAATGGGAGTCTTTCCCTAAATAACCAGAGCAACAAAGAAGGTCATGATGAGATTCACAGGACCATAAAATAAACACTACATACACACATACACACATATATTTATGTGCATGTGTATATATGTGTGTGTATAAAACACTTTGAACCTACAGTATATATGTATATATAATATGTATGTACATATATAATATGTATGTACATATATAATATGTGTTGGTGGGGGTGGAGTAGATGCTTAGGATATGCAGAACAATGGGAAGAGGTGATTATATCTAGGACAGAGAATTTGAATGGTACTAATGCAAGCAGTGAAGGGCTAACAGAAAGCAACAGAATCATTTATTTATTTATTTTTTTACTGTACTGTTGTCTCCTCTATTTCTATCATAATTGTAATGGGCAGCTCTACCTCAGGCTAGTTTTCAGTTACTTTTGGTTCTGTGTTGGAATGAAATGATACTTCTGTAGGTAGTTTAACAGTAAATGAGAAGAGGCTTACTTAGCTCTTCTAGCATAGAAAGGATCTTTCACGAGGATAATGCAGCACTTGACTTGCATAGACATAGCTCCCCTAGCTCCCACATAGAGGGGAATTTGGTCAGCAGGGCAGGATGTGGTAACTTATCTAGTCTTGAGACACCTTCCAAACCAGAAAGGCCCGATTTTGTGGTGAGCAGGCCTATGTCTTCCTTAGGTGATTAGGAAATCAAAGTCACTAAGGCCAAATGCTACGAGGAAGCTGCATCAAAGAAGGTCAGTTGGTCAACAAATATTTATTAACTATGTGCCAGACAGGATATTAACACTGTGGATACTAATATAAAGAAGAAACTCTCTGGCCTCAGGGAGCTTACCATTGAATGGCAGAAGACAACACAAAAAAAAAAAGAAGCTAGAAAGGGGATGATGGGGTATAACCTGGATGGGAGCATGGTGGAGAGTCAGAGAAATCCCAAAGTAGTGCAGCCAGGTGAGAAATGAGTTTGGGTTTGAGTTTTAGCTCTGAGGACAATCAAAGACTCAGGTACCAGCTTTGTCACCTTTAACGGTGACAAAGCTTAATCCATGTGAGGACAGAGTAAGGAAGGGGAATCCTGGTAGATTATGATCCTATCACAATAATCAGCTCTGGAATGCTTCTTACTTTCTCAAAATGGAAGCTCTTTTATTCAACAAAAAAAAAACATTAAAAAATCATAACTGACACATGACTTTGTCATTGTATACAATATTATTCCCTAGCGGTTCCTCTTGAAAGTCTAACAAGAGGAAGGAGGTATATTTCAATAGATTTCATTCTTCAGGATCATAGTTGAGTTTTCAGTTATCCAGTTGTGTTTCAGTTACCTAGGACTTGTTTCAAAGATCTTTTCCATTAAATTTTGATGGCCAAACCTAATTCTTTCTTCATGACTCTAGGTTAAGTCAGAACCCTAGGTTTCAAATGTATTCTACATCAAGATAACTGACCTCCTGATAGACACGTGAAGAGAAGAGCACATAGGTTGACCTCTGGTCATTATGGTCTTGCTGCACAACTCTGGTCTTCTTGCTAAGTTAGTTCAAGCAAGCAGGAAAGTGCAGTGGACAGGACTCTGACCCGTGAGCCAGAAGACCTGGTGCAAGTTCCAATCTTCTGAACTTTATGAGCCATAAGAAGGTGGGCAGATCAACTCAGTTTCAGTTTTCTAATTTATAAAATGCAAATGATAATGTATGAAGTATCTACATGATAGTGCTACTGTGAGGATCAAAGGGAATACCACAAATAAAGTGATTTTTGTTGTTATTATTCTGTTGTTGTCTGACTCTTCATGACCCCATTTGGGATTTCCTTGGCAAAGATATTGGAGTGGTTTGCCATTTCCTTCTCCAGTTCATTTTATAGATGAGGCAACTGAGGCAAACAGGATTAAGTGACTTACCCAAGGTCACACAATTACTAAGTGTTTGAGGCCAGATTTGAACTCAGGAAGATGGCTTTTCCTGACTCCAGGCTTGGCACTCTGTCCTCTGCACCACAAAGCTGACTAAGAGTGATTTTTTTAACAAGCATTTTGTGTTGTTGTTCAGTTGTTCAGTCACATTTGACACTTTGTGACCCCATGGACAGGCCCTTCTATCCTCTACTATCTCTTAAAGTCTGTCCAAATTCATGCTCACTGTTTCCATGATATTGCCAGGGGCAACTAGGTGGCACAGTGGATAGAGCACTGGCTCTGGAGAAAGGAGGATCTGAGTTCTAATCTGGCTTTAGACACTTACTATCTGTATGACCCTAAGCAAGTCACTTAACACTGCTTCAAAGAAAAAAAAGATACTATCTATCCATCTCATTGTCTGATGTCCACTTTTCCTTTAGCTTTCAATCTTTCCCAACATCCTCTTTTCCAAGGGGCCCCATCTTCTTATTTTGTGGCCAAAGTATTTAAGCTTTGGCTGTAGTACTTGAATTTCCAGTGAATCTCCTGAATTAATTTCTTCAAATACTGACTGATTTGTCTCCTTGCTGTCCATGTCTCAAACATCTTCTCCAGCACCATAATTCAAAAGCACTGATTCTGTTTCACTCAGCTTTTCTTATGGTCTAACTCTCACAGTCATACAATGCTGCTAGAAAGACCCTAGTTTTGACTATTCAAACCTTTGTCAGCAAGGTGTTGTTTCTGCTTTTTATTATGCTGTCCATATTTGCCATAGTGACTTGGAAGGAAGCTTTCCCTCCAAGGAGCAAGCATCTTTTAATTTCATGGCTGCAGTTGCCATTTGCAGCAATCTTTGATCCCAAAACAAGCATTTGTTAAGCACCTACTATGTGCCAGGCTATGATTTTACAAATATTGTTTCATTTGGTTGTCACAACAACTTTAAGAAACTGAAGAAACTAAGACAGGCAGAGATTAAGTGACTTGTCCAGGATCACACAGCTAGTTGGTGTCTGAGGCTAAATTTGAATTCTGGTCTTCAGGACTCCAGACCCAATACTCTATCCACTGCCAGGCTGCCTCAAGTAATCTGCATAATTTAAAGCACTGTATGAATTACCTTTTTTAAAAAAATTACATAAATACAAAGTATCACAGTATAAACTGATTGAGGCCTAGAGTGACAAAAATCTACAATGAATTCAGTAACATTTCTAATAAATTATTATATTATGTTAGTATTACGCTAATCTCAAAGGTCTGAAAAATAGCAAACTATTCAAATACTAGTTATGCTAATTGTTCAGACCTTTAAAAATATGTTTGTTGAGGGGCTAGGAGGCGCAGTGGATAGAGCACCAGGCCTGGAGTCAGGAGGACTGAGTTCAAATCTGGCCTCAGACAGCAGATATTTCCTGGCTGTGTGACCCTGGGCAAGTCACTTAACCCTGATTGCCTCATCAAAAAAAAAAAAAGTTTGTGTCTTTTACTGGGTCACTTATTAAGATGGTTGGTTCTCTTAGAATTTCTGGACCCTGGAAGTCTAGTTCACATAGTATGATAGAGAGGAAAGATAATTCAGGGGACTTGGGTT